CAGTTGCTCTTGATTTGTAATGACATAAAATATTCAAATAGTACACAAGCCCAGGACATAGGGCACAGAAGGAAAGATTACTTGTTAATTGTTTCTACAAAAATGACGTCGAATGCTTTGGAAAGTCTCAATAAAGGCAAGTAGCCAAGGGAAAAAAACTGCTGGCAAATTAGGTGTGGATGAGACAACTGCAAGTGATTAGGGACAAAAATAATAAAAACCTAGAATCACTCTGGTACTCAGATTGCTTTGCAAATGTCTAAATTCTCACTCCACTTTAAAGAAATGGAAACCTCAGATAATACTTATGGGTGTGGTTTGTGCTCAAAGGACAATCAGGGCTTCGTGCTCAAAGAAAAGCCCTTGGCCCCACATCAAAAAAGTGGTGAGTGAATGTACATGTGTTTTAAGTTAAAAATAAACTGTTAAAGGTGTGTGTGCGTATCATTTGTATGATCTCCGTGCTTTAACCTACTTTTGTAATTAACTATCTTGCCATCCTGGCCAGGAAAGATAAAGTTTTTGACCTTATTTCTTTTATCATACATAAAAGACAGTTATTAATTGATTCATTCAATAATCAAAAGATATTTATTATCAGCGAGGTAGTGGTTTAGATGCCAGTTACACAAATTCTGATCTGATGCCATGAAGTTTAATCCTTGTGATCCAGGCCTGGCCTCTTGGCATCTTACTCCTTTCCCCCTCTTGGCATCTTACTCCTTTCCCCCTCCCCCCCCCCCTCCCTCTCCCCTCCCCCTCCCCTACCCCTCCTCTTCTTCCCTTCCCTTCCCTTTCTCCTCCTCTTCCCCTCCTTCCTCATTTCCTAATCACTGGCATAAGGACACTACTTGACTCCATAACCCTTCCCAATTATCACATATTTCTTTACCCCTGAGGGGAATTTACGTTTTCACTAATCAATCATAACTTAAATATCCCTACCTGGGGCATTCTCTGTCTCATACATACAAACACATTTTCTTACCCCACTTCTTTCTTCCTTTCTGTATTCAGGCTCTTTTTCAACTGCCCCAAAAGAACAGCCACCTTTCTCTTTCTCATTTCCTCAATCCCTTTTGGTTGTATTTCTAAGTGGAATAGGCTGACAGGCATTAAAGTAGTAACACTTTACTGAAGTATATATCAAGGAATAGAAAAACTTCGTTTCGGAAGACTAAAACCAGACATTTGACCTACGGCCATCAACCTGTAAAAACCTTAAAATGATCCAGAACCCTCTAAAAATCACCATCTCGCTCTGTAATCGCTCGAATTAAGTCTGTTTTTCTTAAAAAACTACCGTTCAAAATAAAAATCACCAAATCAATTTTCTCTCCTGCCAATTTAACCGCTTGTTTGGCATTTAATAGTTTAGTTTTCTTCTACGTTTTTGAAACATAAAATATGTCCACTCTACCAAGGCACCACGAGAGAGGTGAAAGAAGAGCACCTGACCAGGCAGCGGCCCAGGGACTCTGTTGGCTGGCCAGGTGAGGAAGCCGTCACCTTTTACCGTTGTACGCTTCTAGGGAGAAAAGTGTGTTTCCTTTCCATCAACCACTGAACAAACAAATAAAGATCTAACTGTGCATAAACAAAAAGGTGCACAATTTGGAGCAAGTCTTCAAGAAATAAAAACACTTCTGTATCATTTAGTGCCATTTCCTAATTTGTAACAGATGACAAACATTTCTTAACCTAGCCTTGGCTTACCTTTTGGTCCAAATGGATTTTAATTGCCCTGAATTTTTCATGGCATCCAGAGCTTGTCCAAGATTCAATGATAATCCGTTAACCAGATCCGCCAAGAGTTAAAATCTTAGTGCCTCTTCTGCTGCTAGGTTTAACTGTGATTCTTTATATCACACCATACTCTGAGCAAGGCACAGAGAAACTCTTATTATGTTAACACCCACAGCTTCTCTGTCTCTTTCAATGAGGGGGAAGCTGGCTTTCTGCTTCTCTGTGGCTTGGCAAAAATTAGGGAGGGATTTTTAAATAAAATCTCTGCATAACAAAATTGTGAATCCCCTTAAATGTTTTTTTCTCTCAGGGACTTTCTTGGCAGCTAACTTCTACTTTTAACCTGTTTTCTCTATAGGTAGAGAAATCTTGCAGCTTTTCCAATTGATCTTTATGTATTTCGTTGCCTTGATAAATATTTAAAATCCCTTAAATGCACGTGTGTGTGTGTGTGTTTCTCATCTACCAGTTTTGTAAAAGACTTCTCACTCTTAAAGCAACCATAACTCTTTTCCTCAGAACATTCTGAAAACCATTTAATCAAAAGCCACTCTAGTTTTGTTTTTTTACTGTTTAAAATATATTTACATGGCCCTAGAAACAGAGATGCAAAATAATGAAAGTGAACCTGGTTCATGAAGAGGGAGCTGGATGGAAGTCTCCAGCTGAGGTCTCCTAAAGAATCACCCATCTTCATATTTGTAATTCACATCTTCTTGCTCCAGTCCTGACGGCAGGATTCTTGGCGAAATGTCCTGATGCTTCAAACAAGCCCCTCAGCAGGACCCCAATGCTGGAAGGCCATCAGGGCTTCCAGAGCTCCACGAGAGTAGCAAGGTCACATCTATCTAGCTTTCAACTACTCGCATCCTGCTAACTTCGAGGCTGTGGGCAATGCCCCCGAAACAATGCACAGCTTCATGGTGTGCTTTCCTCAAAGAGAGATGGCCTCTGAGCCATGCCCTGCTCAGGTCACTATGGCAGGTTAACTGTTTGCAGGAGCAGCAATTAAAATTCCAAGACATCAAGAAAAAAAAATGTTGCAATAGGGACTTCTCCCAAGACATACCCTTCCTGTGCAGCCCGGGTGGCCACATTTTTGAGGGTCCTCAAGTACTTCAAGAGGCCTTTTTGATGACAGCAAGACTATACCTGCTTACCACACAGTGAACCTACCTTTCAGCCTCCACTTGTTCTTTTCGATCCAGTTCATCAACTGGAACGATCCAGTTCGATCAACTGTGATTTTAAAATTTAATCTTTATGTCAACCATGTGTGGTACGCCTAGCAAGTACTGTTATCCCTATTTTGTAGATCGGAAAACCAACACTCAGAGGGCTTAAATCCTAATTTCTACCTTCATTTGTGTGCAGAGTCAGGTTGAGGACTCCAAGCATTGGATCTATAATCTATGTTAGTGAGACTTTTTTCCCAACAATTTTTTAAAAGCCAGCAGATCCTTTTCAAAATTCTTCACTCAAAATCCTATGTAAATACCAGTTACAGTTCATCCAGTTCATCGTTCTAGTTCAAATTTTAAAATCACAATCCAGTTGATCACAGATCAACTGTGATCTCTAGTTCTTTAAGGCCCATTGGGTCCAAGTGCTCAACTATGCTGCAGTCTTTAAGTGGCCCAGTGGTCCAACTGCATCTCTCACTACCTTATGGTTTTACAGCAGTATTTTAGAGCTTCCACAAATTATTAATAGAGCATATTGCAGATCTTGAAATATCTTTTAAACTCTTAACATGCCATGTTAATTTACATTAGAAACCAAATATCTACCCTGAAAAGACCACCAAATATTAACTTGGGCTGCCCTGCTAGTGGCTAGATATTACGCAGACTTCAGAATGAAGCTTTTCCTGTATCTGACATGCTTATGAATATGTTGCTGATGAAGAGGTTTGTAGTTCTCTGTGGGTGTTTAGGATTTCAGGCCTGCACATGTCTGCTCATGTAAAATTATACAAGCAACTACATACTAAAGCTCATGCACATGCACTACACTCAATTAAATGCCAGGCATGGGCCCAAGAGCATCTGCTTGGCAAATGCTCCATCCCTGGTTGGGCAATCACATGTGGCACCATCATAAGAACCTATTATAGACCATTTTACTTTTTATTGTAAGTCCTAGGCATTTGGGGCTATTGTATAGTTACAAAAAAAAAAAAAAGACTACAAGATATCCTCAATGTTTCAACTTTGAAACAAAAAGTTCTTGTTTCCCTGATTTCTAGGTTCTTAATCAATTTATTTAAAGAGCATCCTAAAATTGCAAGATGAGTTTCATCACAGAATTGTTACCAATTGCAAGTACATGCCTGTATGGATTAGGATTTTCTTAATGCTGTGCAGGTGAAACAAGTGTAAAAATATACCAGATGCTGAGGCAGACGGACAAGCTACTATCTATTGATCCTGATTTCAAATGTTGGCATTTATCAAAACAGATTCACTGGTCTTGTGATGAATAAATATTATAAATTTGAACTTATAAATTGGATTTGTATTAATAAAATATTGTCATTATCTACTTTCCATATTGATATCTACATAGGATTTTGAGTGAAGAATTTTGAAAAGGATCTGCTGGCTTTTAAAAAATTGTTTGGAAAAAAAATCTCACTAACATAGATTATAGATCCAATGCTTGGAGTCCTCAACCTGACGCTGCACATAAATGAAGGTAGAAATTAGGATTTAAGCCCTCTGAGCGTTGGTTTTCCGATCTACAAAATAGGGATAACAGTACTTGCTAGGCGTACCACACATGGTTGACATAAGGATTAAATTTTAAAATGCAGATGAAAGTCACAGGCATTTTTGTTCAGAAGGGATAAGAGAAGGCACCTTTTAAAAATGCCAGATTTGGTCAAAATCTGTGGGGTTACAACCAGAGAACAATATTTTTTAAAGTTCTTCAGATAATTCTATTATACAACTGTGGTAAGTGATCTGGCTCCATCTTTAGTTCAAAAAACATGTTTTTGAGGGCCAGAGGAGGTCTCCCTGAAAATGGCAGGCCTTGGCTTGGCCCCTAAGCTTTCTGAACATCTCACTACAGCACTCTGCTCCTCGGCCTCAGAGCCCCTCTGAATAGCAAACGCTTACACGTGTACATATATCAAATCTATTAGTGAGCTGCAGACCCCTAGGATCAGTTACTTTAAGAAACTATATAGCAAAATGTAAATATAAAATTTCTTATTGTCTTGTTTTCTTTTTAAAAGTTTCTTCACTCACCTGAGAGACCCTGGGTAATGGGAAACCATGATGCTGGGGGTCCAGGCAGAAGCAAGGGCTCCTCAGAGATGTCGCCAAGTTTCTGCAGATGCGAGTGGCGTTCAACTCCTACAGAAACGAACAACGTTATTTTTAGCATAATTTGCTCAGGGGAGATTCTAGAGGCATTTGCTTACTCCTGGGTCAATGAAAGCAGAAGTGAGCAAATGGGAGATGTTAAAACAAAAATACCACTCACTGCCCAGTTAGAGTTACCAGGATCCCCCAATTAAAGTTTGATTGCTGTATGCACATGTGGTAACAAGTTTACAGGACATTCAGCACAGCGCCTAACTCGCAGGAGATGTTCAATTAGAGCTATCAGAATGATCATCTCAGCCGCTGAGCTAATCGGGGAATTGGCGCTCTGCAAACCCACACTGGAAATCCAGCTCCCTCTCTTACGGACTATTGGATCACAGAAAGTCACTCTACATTTCTGCACCTCGGTTTCCCCAACTGTACAGTGTGGTTAAAAATACTGCCTAACAGTAAAAAAAGAATGCAGTACTGATACATGCTCCAACAGGGAGGAATGTTGCAAACATTAAGGGAAAGAAGCCAGACACCAAGGAGCGTGCATTATAGGATTCCATTTACAGATAATGCCCAGAGTAGGCAAATCTATAGGGATAGAATGTAGACTAGGGGTTGCCAAGGGTTGGGGGTGGGGAGGACTTAATGGGAGGGTACAAATGTTTCTTCCTGGCATGACAAAAGTATTCTAAAATTAGAATGTGGTGATGGTTGCACAACCTGGAGAATACACTAAAAACCACTGAATTGTGCACTGCATGGGGGAAATGTGTGGTATATGAGCGATGTCTCAACACAACCATTTTTAAAACTACTACCTAAAGAGCTGCTGCAGGTTATGGCAGAGAGTACATGAGGGGACACACGTCGCATGCTTAGCCAGTGGCTGGCGCAGACAGAGAGGCACTCGGCGAACAGTGGCTCTGCGTACTGGTGCACACGGGAGTCGAGCAACACTAAGCATGCTGTCACGGTGAACGCGCGTGGGGGAAACCCCTCGCCTACAGACACCACTTTATTCAGAAGCCCCCACTAGACAGGATTTCTAAACATTGTCGAGCCGGCCAAGAGTCGTAAAGGCAAGTTATAAACAGCGTCGGAAAGCCTGGGATGGGAGGCTGGCAGGAGCGTCCCGCAGCTTGAGAAGAAAACAGAGCGTGGCCCGCCACCTCTCCTGCCACAGGTCCTTGCAGGGACAGGCAATAAAATGAAGCGGGATTCCAAGCTGTGCCGGGGATCCTCTTTAATAAAGGCAGAGTTTCCTAAAAAAAATCATTGTTTCCTGAATTCTTCCCAGAAAGTCAAACTTCCTTCTCACTGGAAAAGGGGAGTGGGAAGATGAATTACAAGGATTCACGAAAAGACTGTCATGAGACTTAGACAATTCCATTCCCAGGGGGAAAGAATCAAGATTTTAAGTTACCACCGGCACTTTCTAGGGGTTATTAAGAATGTAAAGCCTCTTAACTGTAATCACCCCTAATTAGCCATCAGCAAGTCATGAAATTACTCTTGGTATTGAAGACCCTTACATTCTTGGCTCTCGGCCAGAACTTACACTGAGATCCACCAGGAAGAACGCCAACAAGTACAAATTGGAACAGTTGAAACTCCTGAACTTGGGGCGTGGCCGCTGGCTCTTGGCTGCAGAGCAGGTATGCAGCACGGCAGGGGGCTCAGCTTGGAAGTCAGATGCAGTCTTCGCCAACCTCCTAATAACCATCAACTAATCAATAATTATTTACTTAATAGGTGGCATGCTCAGGTCCTCTCTGAGGTGCCATGGGAAGGCAAGTTCCACTTTTACAGTCTAGCTTAGGTGGGTAAGATTTAGGGAGATGGACCACCAGGGAAGAGGGTGGTGTTATCCAGAACAGCACAAGGTGAACAGTGTCGCTCAGACCCTAAGTACAAAACAAGCTAGTTCAAGAGAAGGGACTTGCTGTAGAGGGCTGGTCTGGCACCAGCAAGGGAGATGGGACTTAAAATCAGGCCTGTGCCAAGCAGGTTATAAATCTAGACTAAACAAACTAAGCAATCTAGAATCCTGGGTAAGAGTGTGCACACTGTGGCGTGATGGCCTGGGTGTGTGACCAGCACTCCCATTTATTAACCAAGTGAACTTTGGCAATTAACCTGTCCCTCAATTCCCTCACCAGTTAAGTGGGTGGATACTGTTTGTAACTACTTCATGGGGTTGTTGTGAGAATTAACTACTTATTGAGACTGCATGATCTGCGTGCTAGACACAACACACACACACACACACACAGACACACACACACACACACACACACAGACACACACACACACACACACACACACACACACACACACACACACCAGCAGGCATGGGCCCTACCTTCAGGAACTGCAGCCTAGAAGCTAGAGAGCTATATTCTTTAAAGCAACTAAAAGATAAATAAGTATAAAAGTAAAATTGTGGTAAGAGCCATGAGAGAAAGTCCAAGATGCCTCAGCAGGTACCCTGGGCTGGGGGCAGGGAAGACCCCCTGAGGCGGCCGTATGTGGGGCCTGAGCGGGCAGTAGGAGCTGGCCGTGCAGTGGGGAAGGGGAGCCACCCGGGGGGGTCGGGAGTGTCAAGGTGCATGTGACGGTGGGTGGAAGGTGGCGGTGGTGGGACGGTGTGGGAAGCCTGCCCTCAACTGAGAGGTCAAGTCTGCGGAATATGGGAAGTACCTGGTTGAGAGGACAAGGGAAAGAGAGGTGCCAAAGCCCCTCCCTCCTCATGGACAGAGGTGGCAAAAGGAGGTGCTAATGGAGCTTCCATCAAGAAAAGAAGAGGAAGGAAGAAGGCTTGGGGCAGAACAGTGCTCCCCAGAATGGGGCGACTGCCTAAGCAAATCTGACAGCAGTCCACTAGAAAAACATCTTAAATTATCAAAACAGTTTGAAAACAGATTTATAACCACTGCTGATAACCACCAACCTCATCTGTCCTCTGTGTACTGCGCCTTCAGACAATTGCTGATAAGGGAATGAAGCCATCGTGATTAGCATGTCATTCAAAATACAGTTTCGTTCATCTTTATCTCCTTCTTAATTTATAATTTGGGTATATATTTAATGCGGTCACATGATATATGGATAGGTAAAAATAAATAAATAGCCAAACATATATTGGAGTTGTATGCTCAAACATTTTTACTGATGTAAAAATATTTTGCAATCAGTACCATCAAAAAAAAGGTTTTTACAGGCAAAGACTCTGATATGTTTTTTCACCAACTTCTTGTCAGATTTGACTGGTCACTTTTACCGAGTCCTGGGAGAGCTACCCCTCTGCCACGTGTCGGCACTCACCCCGCCTCCAGGAGTGGCACTGCGCTAAACCAGTTCTGCCTTCAACCTGCGGGCACCGCCCGTGAGTCTGTCGTGGAACTGATTTCGTGGGTCACGACCGGTATTTTTTTCAATGCAGTAGAAAAACGATAAAAGAGAAGAGAAAATGCCCGCATCCCATGCACAGTCAGGTGTGTACTGCTCTCTGCGGCTCACAGTGAGAAGGCTTACGGGTCCCGCTCTGGGAGGCGAGAGGCAGTGGAGGGGGCAACCGTGATTGCAGTCCGGGGCATCACCGGGCATCTAAGGCCCTGCACAGTGGCCCCAGGCCAGTGGTGACGAGATGGGCGAGAGAGCCATGCAGGTTCTGGAGCAGGCAGGGCCCTGGTAAGAGTGAAGCTTCCCCAAAACCCGTTTGGCGGCAGAGCACCGCGCAGACTGAGCACGCGCGCTGTCTACAGAGCCGTGTCCGCTTTTGAGGTTTGCTCCTGTTGATTTATAACCTTTCTTGACAGTGAACAAAAAACCTAACAATCTAGTTTCTGGTAGAACATACGCTCCCTGGGGGATGGAGGCCCCACCTTCTCTCCGTTCCAGAAAGGTCCTACAGGAAGGCTGAGCAAGTCACCTGACTTGGTTCAGGCCAAAGCTGCAGTCCCCACACGCCAGGAGGAGGTGGCCGGAGCACCAAGGCTCAGGACGGTGGGGCCAGAAAGAGGGCCACGAAGACTGGAGCCCAGGACAGAGAATGGTTCTCCTGACCCAGAGGATGCCACTGTGCCCTGAACACGACTCACACGCCCACCTCGGAGTCTCTCCTGCTCCTTCTCCTTCTCCTCACGGCCTCACCAAAACTCCTGGGAGCCCCACCCGACTTCAGCCCGAGCTTCGGAAGAGAACGACCTGTACCGCCTCTCAAGTCTGGGTGCAGAAAGGCCCAACCACAGCGCCAGTGCCACCTCCCTCCCGCCCTCCCCCCACATGCTTCGCCCTCTGCAGCTCCCGCAGTAAAGCCACCACCCAGGCACACAAAGGCACCAGTCCCTGGGGAGAGGAAGTGACTCACCAGCAAAGCATGAGGACCAGAGATTTCAAAAGAAGGGAGTTCCAGACCCCAAATCCAGCACCCGTCATATGGAGCATAAGTCATAAGTCTCAGACCCTGCCTGTTCCTCTGTGACAGCTGCCCCGAGGGCCCCCACCAGACGGGAGCCTCCATGCGGGGCCCAGATCCTGCCCGTCCTGTCTCCACCAGCATCACCAGCGTGCTCTCCTGCCTGCCGCCATTTACACAGACCTTCCTCTCACAGAGCCTGGACCCGCTGTTCCCAGTGCCACTACCGCCCCTACCTGACGCTCTATTGTGGGTGGGCGCAAGGACCAGATGTCAGCTCCCAGCCCAGGGCCTGTCCAAGCCACCTCCGCCCTCCATTAAGAAGGAGGCAGGAATCACTCTTCCTTAGCACCTGGAATGGGACGTGGTGCAAGCTACACAACCATCACAGCAAAACCAACGCCTCACAGTGAGTCCAGGCAACCAACACCTGGGTGACGGATGGGGTTTGGGGAAACATGACTGATGAAGTGGACAGGAAAGCTCTTCTGGAGTCTTAAAAAAAAAAAAAAAAACAGGCCGGGCGCGGTGGCTCACGCCTGTAATCCTAGCACTTTGGGAGACCGAGGCGGGCGGATTGCTCAAGGTCAGGAGTTCGAAACCAGCCTGAGTGAGACCCCGTCTCTACCAAAAATAGAAATAAATTAATTGACCAACTAAAAATATATATAGAAAAAATTAGCCGGGCATGGTGGCGCATGCCTGTAGTCCCAGCTACTCGGGAGGCTGAGGCGGTAGGATCGCTGAGCCCAGGAGTTTGAGGTTGCTGTGAGCCAGGCTGATGCCATGGCACTCACTCTAGCCTGGGCAACAAGTGAGACTCTGTCTCAAAAAAAAAAAAAAAACAACTGAAACTAAAACAAAAGCCAGACAGCTTGTGTGTTTGGGGAACGAACAAACCCTGTACTGAGAAAGGGCACAGTATGGATGACAGAGGCGGAGGACCAGGCATCCAGCAACGCCCACTGAGCCAACCGCAGGGGTGGAGAAGGGGCCTGGGTGGAGGAGGACACCAGGGAGGCCGGGAGGAGGCTGCCCTACACTGTGCCGAGTGGCGCAGGCCCAGGACAAGGGTGGCCGCGTCCCCCACTGAGAAAACACGGAGGATTGGAGAAAGAGCTTTGGCTGGAGAAGAGATAAGGCTGGCAAGACAACCCAAGAGCAAGAGACAGAAAAACAGGTGCTCTTATTTCTTCAAAGTACCCCCTGCCTAAATGAAAAGATTATCCAGAGCAGGTGGGAAGCAACAGAGGTGTTCTATTCTAGAGGTGGGAAGGAGGGAGGAATACCTTTTACACTGTCATCATTAACAATATAGTGGGCACACTTGCCAGCCAACAGTGAGAGGTGCAGGACAGGGTCCAGCAGCTTGAAAGAGAAGTGATCATGTTCTCTTTTAACAGATTCTAGACATTATCTGTTCATGTTTGCCCCTCACTGGATGGAAAGCTTCTCAAAGGCAGGAGATTTGTTTTAGTCACCTTTACAAAAGCCCTGTCAGCAGACACACTGCCTGGTAGGGGGCAGGCATGCAAAAAAGGGTGAACAGATGAATGGATGAACGGATGAAGAAGGAACAGCACACGTTTCCTACAGACTCTCCATCTTAGACAGCAGGGCCCTGCGTGGCTTCTCTCCCTCTGCTCTTGCTGTCCAGTGAGTGTCTGCAGGCGGCCCTGGGAGCAGAGTGAGGGCACTAACTCGCCACACGTGCCTGCTGCCTCCATGGTCGGAGGACGACCCTCCCCAGCCCTCTGGTGGCAGTCATCAATCGCCACAGGACGTCCAGGAAATCCTGCCCCAGGCCATGAGGTACCAGGGAGGGGGAGGGAGGGGCTGACCCTGGAGCCCCAGCCTGGTCACAGTTCCAGCCTCCTCCTGCTCCTAGGAGGGCAGCCAGAGGAATGTTCCCCTCGCAGGTCCTTGGCTCACGATCTTTTCTCCTACCACCTCACAGAGCCCGTCCTTCTTATTCCTGTCATATCCAAACTCAGCCACAGAACTCCAACCCCCCGGGGAAGCCCCATGCTGCAGACCGGCTGGCTTGCCCAGGGCAACGTGAACACCCACAGAGTCTGAATTAGGAAAAAACTGTGCGAAGATCTATTAGAACTCCCTGGCTGCTTTCGAGCAAGCACATTGCAGTGGGATTTGTTACCCGTTAAGGAAAACACCTTGCTTCTCCATGTTCACCTTGAGAGATCAGGTAATCAGCACAGATTACTTAAGGGTTTCAACACAAATTGCATAATTCTTGTGGTTATTAACATTGGTGTGGTTTATATTTGTTTTTGGCCCTAAAAAACGTTTCCCAGGTAACTAAGGGAAACATTCAAGGGCAGAAATAGCATGCAGGCAAGATATTTAAAATACATGAGCCATTTGTTCCTGCTTCTGGACAAAGTTGCTTTCTCAATTTCAGATGACACCGTACTGCAGATCAAAGCAGGGGGAAAATTCTGGAGTCAGATGCTTTCTCTTCCCCAGACATTACTTACTGAGTCATTTGATTTACACCACCTGATAAACCTGGTTCGATTCCTTTGCTTCTGTGTAAGTCGCACATGCAGAACTCCGTTCTAGGAACTGTGACACTGTGTCACTATGATTTGTGCTTGTCTTTCCTCCCACACAAAATGGGACCTCTTCCTCAAAGACTTCCTTGTTAGACTCCTGGTGCCTAGAACGGCACTGGGGTGCAGTAGGTGTTCTGTGACGACAGAAAGTCCTCCTGCTCAAACTCGCTCTGAGGGGCTTCCCGTCCATGCAGGAGTGTGCTGTGTTTGCAAGGCACTGTCGCCCAGCCCAGGATCTGAACATCTCAACAGCAACGTCCCTCTTCTGTAGTAACTGCTAGTTGCTTCTGACGTTAACACTACCGATGACACTCTCCACCGCTCTCCCGAAGCTCCCAACACCCAAATAAACAGCTGTGATGGGATGCAGGCCATCCGACCTAGGAATCAAAGACTCCTAGGGACAGTTGTCAGCTTTCCTCCCCACTCAGACTCAATCTCTCCCTAGCATCCTCTGCCAAGAGCAGTTTATAATCCCAAGGAAAAAAGATCAGACTGCCACAGATGAGCTCTGCATGGGAACCGCGGACACCAGCGTTTCTCCAAGATGACGAGCCATCTCATTCCCAAAACCAACACATTCTCCAGCCGCCTTGGCCAGAAGCAGATGACCATGGGACGAAAGGCAGCTTTGCTTTAGGACGCTTTCCCTGTCTTCTGATGCAAGGCCCAGGTCCTGCTACCTACACATGGTCTCTTCTTGCCACTCTGGTGACCACGTGTGGACATCTGCACTCGTGTGTCGGGAAGGAGGGTGTGCCGAGTGCACTAACACTGAAAGAACACGCACAGACAGCAAGTATCACATTCAGTCACAAAACAGCCCTAGGGCTGAGTGGGCCATAGTTAATGTGGTATTCTTTTAGAAAGAAATCTGTGTATAAAATTATGTTTGTTTATTGAGGAAAGTTGGAAACTATAGAAAAATGTAAAAAGGAAAGTCAAAATTACTCATTGTCTCATAATCCAAGTTAACCAGTGTTAAACTTTTTGGTATTCTCATGTTTATTTTCTTCTACTCATGATGCTTATACATATTATCTGCGTATTTTACATATATTTCTTTAAAATCATATATGCAGTTTTGTATTCTTTTTTGCCTTACATTATAAGCATCTCATTAGCAATAGTCAAAATCATTTGTAATCACATCATAATAGTCCACTCTAATGAACACCAGATAACAAACATATCTATTAATGTTCCCTTATCAATGGAATAGCTGATGAACATCTTTGTATAAAATTCTTTATCTGTTTTTTTGCTTAGTTCCTTGGAATAGATTCCTAGAAATGGAATCACTAAACTAAAGGTATGACTATTTAAGGTCCTTCATATATAGGGATCATTTCAAAAAGAATGGTATCAACCTAAAATCTTACATGTAGTGAATGAAATAAATATATTTGCCAAAAATGTTATGATTCATAATCTTTCCTAATTTGATAGGCAATTAGTTAGGGTAGGGTAATTCTGTAACAAATCACCCCCAAATTTCAATGGCTTAACACAGTAAAAGGTTTCTTGCTCAAGTCAGTGTCTAACGCAGGTTGGCAGGGTCACTCTGCTCCACACAGTCATGCAGGCAGCCAGGGACCCAGGCTCCTCCCATCTAGTGGCTGCACCATTGTCTAGGGCCTCGGAGTCCTCAACTGGATTCTCTCTTCCAATGAATGAATAAGAGGAAAGAGAAAGCATGGAGGATTGAGCTAGCAGCTTCATGAAGGTAACTTAAATTACTGCCACTCATATTCTGTAACCCGGCTTAGTCATGTGACAGCAGACCTAACTGCAAAGGAGTGTGGGAAATGTGGTCTACCTATATTCTCAGGAGGAAATCTTCTGGTGAACAACTAGCCAGTGTTTGGCACAACAGGCAAAAACATGGTAAGTCATTTTAACATATACTCCTTTGATTACTGGTAAAGTTGGAACAGATTTTCATTTTTATCAGGCATGTATATGGTCTCTTCTGCGAATTTTCTACAATCTCTTTTGCTCATTTTTCTGTAGGGATCATACATAATGTTTTGAATTCATTTTTAAGAGCTCTTCTACATTAAGGATATAAACTCTTATTTTGTGTTAAGTTTGGGACTTTTTTGTTCAATTTTAAATTTTATTTATAATTCTTATGGTAAA